GAGATCCTGCTTTCCTTTTACTTGTATTATACCTTTCTATTTGTATTTCTTCTTTTAAGTTCTTATACTAGGAAAACTATGATATTTACACATGTGTGTCTGGTTTATGAGTATATCTTCAAGTGGCATCCACTTCAATATAAAGGCTTTGAGTTTATCATTCTTTATAGCTGAGTAATACTCCATTGTATAAAAATACCACATCTTTTTCATCCATTCCTCAGGTGATGGGCATCTTGTTTTTTTTTTGGCGGAACCGGGGATTGAACTCAGGCCCTTGTGCTTGCCAGGGAAGCGCTTATTCCGCTGAGCCATCTCCCTGGCCCCATAATGTGCATCTTGGTTGTTTCCAAGGTTTGGCTATCACAAATTGTGCTGCTATAAACATAGGCACACATATATCACTATGATATGATGTTTATAGGAATTCAACAATGGTTTATGTATTGCATGATGTTATCGTCATGTTAGTTGTTTACGTTGCAGATGTAAATGTGCAAAATTGATTTAAAAAACAAAAACAAAGCAACAACAAAAAAGTTAAAAAAGAAAATGCCTTAAGCATTAACTGCTCCTTTCAAAAGACCAGCAGAAATTGGCAGCACACATTGTCCTGCATATATCCATAAACAATCTTTTCCCCTTTCTTTGGTCCTTTTCCTCACCCAGCTTTTCCTCCCCATTGAATACATTCTTTCCCTTTCACAGTGTCTTTGTACCTTTCAGACTATATTTACTATTTCAGGTTCACATACTAGTGAGACAATATATTTGCACATGTGGGTCTGATTTATTTCACTTACCAATATAGTCTCTAATTGCATCCATTTATCTACAAAAGCCTCAAATTTATCCTTTTATAGCTGAGTAATACTCCATTGTATAAAAATACCATGTCTTTGTTGTCCATTCCTCAGGTGATGGGCATTTGGGTTGTTTTCACGACTTAACTATGACAAATTGTGCTCCTGTAAACTTGGGTGCATATATATCACTGTGGTATGCTGATTTCAGTTCTTTTGGAAAAATACCCAGGACAGGAATAACTGTTGCATGGGACCTCCAGTCCTAGCTTTCTGAGGAATGTCCATACTGACTTCCATAATGGTTGCGTCAGCCCTCCCACCAGCAGTGAAGGGTTCTTTTTTCCCTACAGCCTCTCTAGCATTTGTTATTGTTTGACATCTTGATGGTAGCCATTCTTTCTAGAATAAGATGGTATCTCAGCATTGTTTTATTTTTTTTTCAGCGTTGTTTTAATTTGCATCTCTTGAATGATCAATGATGTTGAACATTTTTTCATATATTTATTTGCCATTTGTATTTCTTCATTTTTGACATGTATATTCATCTCAGATGCCCATTTTTGGGCTGGGTCTTTGAATATGGAGGCATAATTTTTTAAAACTATATGTTCTAGATAGGAATTCTTTGTCCAAAGGACATAGTCCACTATATATTTTTTTCTACTTTGTGGGTTTTCTTTTTACTCTGTTGGTGATTTCTTTTGACATGCAGAAACTTTTTAAAAAGATGAGATCTCAATTCTTTGGAGTATTCCCTGTGCAGTTTCATTCTTAAAGAATCTTTTATTTATTTATTTGGTACAGAGTTTTGCTATGCAGTTTAGAATCACAGTGATCCTCATAGTGATCTCAGCCTCCCCAGTGCTGAGATTATAGGCATGCGCCACCATGTCTGGTTTTCATGGCCAGCAAGGCATGCAGTACCAGGGATTGAACCTGGGTCTCTGCACTTGCCATGCAGGCGCTTAGACTGCTGAGCCATCTTCCCAACCCTCTAGTTTCATTTTTGTTTATAAACTCTCTACCTACCCCTATGTCCTTAAGATTTCTACCTACTTTCTCCCCTAGAAGATTTAGTGTTTCAGTTTTAATATTTAAATCTTTTATCCATTTTGCAGGTGATTGGCATGGGTCTATTTTAAGCCTCCAAATATGAAAAGCCAGTTTTTCCAGCACCGTTTATTAAAGAGGCTATATGTCTTTCAAGGAACCTGTTTGGCTTTTTTGTCAAAGATAAGGTGGCTGAATGTGTTTGTAGTTGTATCTGCATCTTCTATTCTGTTGCATTGATGTTCAGATCTGTTTTTTGCTAGTACCATGCTTATTTTATCACAGTACCTTTGTAACAGTATAATTTCAAATCAGGGTTGTGATGCCTCCTGCCTGTTCTTTGTTTCTTAGGATTGCTTTTGTTATTCTAGGTCTCTTCTGGTTCCAGATGAATTTTAGAAATGTTCTAGATCTGTGAGGTTTACTAATGGTATTTTAATAGGGATTGCATTGAATCTATATACCAATTCTGGGAGTGTGGCCATTTTCACAATGGTTGTTCTTCCTATCCAGAAGAAGAGAATGTCTTTCCATTTCCTGATATCCTCTTTGATCTCTTTCCTCAGAGTATTATAATTTTTGCTGTATAAATCTTTTACTTCCTTAGTGAGATTGATTCCTAAGTAATTCATTTTTTAAGGTGTCATTGTGAAAGGTGTGGTTTCCATAATTTCTCTCTTGGTGCATTCATTTTTTGTGTATAGAAATGCTATTGATTTTTGAGTGTTGACTTTGTATCCTGCAATGCTACTGAATTTCGTTATTAAATCTATAAGACTCTTCGTAGAGTTTTTGGGATCTTCCATGTACAGTATCATGTCACCTACAAATAATGATAATTTCACTTCTTCCTTTCCAGTCATTATTCCTTTTATTTCTCTTGTTTAATTGCTCTGGCTAATGGTTCCAGAACTAGATTGAACAGGAGTGAAGACAGTAGGCATCCTTGTCTTATTCCTGATTTTAAAGGCTTTAATTTTTGTTTGTTTACTATTATTTTGGCTGTTGGCTTATCATAGATGGCTTTTATTAGGTTGAGGTAAAGACCATCTATTGAGATTCTCTGTAGGGTTTATATGGTGAATGAGTGTTGGACTTTGTCAAAAGCTGTTCTGCGTCTATTGAGATGATCATAGATGATTACCTTTGTCTTTGGCTCTTTCATCTGTGACCCATTGATTGTTTCAGAGGCTACTATTTAGTTTCCATGTGTTGATAGGGTTTTGCTGTTTCTTTTGTCAATAATTTCCAGTTTCATTGCACTATGGTCAGATAATATGCATGGGATGATTTCAATTCCTTTGCGTTTTCTTAAGCATTTCTATGTGCTAACATAGAACATCTCTCTGTTTTGGAGAACAGCTGAGAATGTGCAGTTGAGAAGAATGTGTATTCTGACCCTCTTGGGTGGAATGCACTGTAAAGGCCTATTCCAACACCATATGATGCACCATCTGCCTTAGATACTCTAGGTAATGGGAAGTTAGTTTGGCTCTGAGAACCTGTGTGTTCTGTTGTCTGACTTTCCACTGTAGGTGACAGAACTACCTTGGTTGTATGAGTGTAGCATTAGTGAGATATCGTTCTTTTGTATTCAGTGAAAGTCAAGAGGGGACACAGTAGGGATAGTGAATGCCGCATGGAGGTTGACCATCCAGGTGGAGAGCGGGGGGACAGGGCCCACAGGGATGCTGATCCCATGGTCAGGTGGGGTATATGGGAAGAGTAGGGGTACCCTGGAGAGTGGGGTTGTGGGAAGGTGAAGCACCACTATCTGTTAGCAGCAGGTAGAAAGAAGAGGATGGGCTATGCATGGTAAGCAGAAGTGGCTGCACATTTGGCTTCATCTGTATAGCACTTTTTCTCCCTTAGTATTGAAACATTTCCTTCGAAGGTTATGTTTATTAATCATTTTTCCTTGGTCACACCAGTAACTTTTTTTTTTTTTTTTTTTGCTCCGAGTATCTTCAGGGCAGGTTTGGCTGGCTTGAGTTGTGGGGATCGAACCACAGCAACCTGAGCCTGATTGCTTTGTTGAAGCAGCCACTTAAAGAACAGAGCTAAGGGGCAGGCCCCCCCCACACCAGTAACTTAAGAAAGGTCTTTTGTTTGTTTCTTTTCTTTTCTTTTTGTATGCTTAAAGTTGTTTTTGGAAAAATATTTCTAAATTTACTTATTTAAAATTTTTTCTGGGGGCTGGTGAGATGG